ATTAATTCTTTTTGGTCCAAACAGTGTCTTTTTTCCTCCCACGATTTGTTGTTGTTATGATATATCTTACTTCCAAGTCTCTTTTTCATGTTTTCTCCCTTTGTTTTATAATTGGCCAGCGTCATTTATTGGACACGTGAAAAGGGAATAGACAAGGCAGACAAGGATGGCAGCAGTAAAACGACGGTCTATACTAATAATGATCTCTCAGATATAGACGGACTTTCTATCGATGTCTCAGGTAATAGTGCAGTGGTTTTAGGAGGGACAGGAAGAAAGAAAGAGAGAGAGAGAGAGAGAGGGGTAGAGGGGAGGGGGGGGGGGCTTTATTGGCTCCCGAAAACTTATATTTTAACAAACGGATGACACAAATTAAATTATTAAAAAAATAATTTGCTAACTCAGAGCAACTCATGTTCTAAAAATTCCGCGGCGCATGTAGTGCCGAAGATGTTTCTCTTAAAAGTCGTAGTTGACAAATCTCTTTCATATGTGGTGTGGATGTGTGTGTGTGTGTGTGTGTGTGTAATGTGTGCGCGTGCGTGCTCGGGGGCATGCTCGTCTATGAAAGCACTTCTTCTAAAATATATGATGGGAGAATTCAGGTATACATTTCTTGAGAACAAAGCGGAAAAGATTAGAAAAGAGATCCCATCCTGGTCAGTTCTGGTTTCATACATTGCCTGTGTTTTCTCTTCTCTATGCTGTAGGCCAAAGACTCTTCTTCTCCGACAGTGGACAGAAGAAAATGCACATCTTAAACTTGAATACCAACTCCATTTCCCAGCTATCCAGCTCATATGAGCCGATAGACATCTCTTTCTTCAATGACAAACTATATTTCTTGAATATAAGCCCAACGGGTGTTTTTGAAGTCAATAACTACGATGCATCACCGATTTACGTGCAACATGTGACATCAGCATTCACCGCGCCACGCCGAATGCACGTTGTTACTGTGGAAGTGTCGTAGTATAGTAGTTCATTCACTTGACTCTCAATCCAAGGGTCGACTTTCAAATCCCAGCCGGTCACTAACGTCCTTTAGCCTGACATTAATCCATATTTGCAACTCTCCAACCAGGCGTAAATGGGTACTTGGCTATTGATGGGGTAGTACTATTTGCAGGGCCCTCATGAAAAACAGCATTGTCATTGATAATGCTTCCCTGGGTTAACAAAATCATTCTTATAACAATTGATATTATAACTGTTACTGTGCCAAATTCACAAGAAAGGAAACATGATTTTGCAGATAAATAAACATTTATATAGGTCAGGAAGAGGGCAAGAGTTTCATCCGGGCCCTCCATTTTGGCCAACTCCTTATTATTTGGCAGGGCCCCATAAATTTCGAAACCTTGGATCCACAATTATTGAAGGTGATATCAAAGATACAGGTGGCTGCAAGATTAAAACTGAAAAAAGAAAACACGAAGGCGTTCTTAGAACGTTTAAAGAGTCCAATCATTTGGGCGAAATATATTGTTAAAAGGCTAAGTCCACTCCAAAAAATCTTTATCGCCATAAACTTACATTAGGTGAAATCATGGCCCTATACTGCTCACGGCAAACATAACACGTGACATGATAGTAAGACGTGGTAGGTGTCACTGTGAGAACTGCACTCAGCAAAAAAAAAATGTAAGTGGACACCAAGTTTTCGTTAATGTAATGAATACTAAATATTAAATATAAAAACTTTCATACTAAAATCAAAATAAACTTAAATCGATCATCTAAGATGATATGGAACAAGACATTCATGCATGAGTGAGGATAGCCATATGACAATAAATACGTTTCTGAAAGAAAATTGCAAAAAAGATGTGCATCTGGCCATTCAAATGTTGATAATCATTTGGAGGTATCCTATGGCTCGTCCACGAGTGGGAAGGAGAGACCGTACGTATTTGTCAAAACCATGCAGTCCTGAGACTACCGTTGACATCCACAGTTCAATCTTCCTCTTTGTTTCTTATTCATTGTTTTCCTTTTTGAACAAGAATGCTTTACAGATCCAAATGCTCATTAACATTTGAATGGCTACTTGCTACATTCTCGCTATTTACTTAAGCCTCGGTCACAAATGCCATTACGAACTGCTACGAACGCCGTACGAAAGATTTTCAGACCATGGAAATTCGGGGAGACCATGGAAAAACAGGGAGATTCGTACGAACCTTTTGGACCGTAGCTTAAATCATACATTCTAATGGTTAAATGAATATGCCTTCCATTATCAGCGTCTTAGTTCAAAACTTGATATAATAAAAATGTTGGTAGAGTATTATTTTTTTTTTAAATTTGATATACATTTGATCATATTTCATTGACGGTTTATATGAAAATTTTGAACGATAAATAATGTCGACCTTCTTTTTTGCTGAGTGCAGTACCATTTCTAATAAAAATTAGTATGTATTCAACTAAATTAGAAACTACCACTTTGGCGAGACAAAAGTTAATTGTCTTATATGTCGTATTGATGATATTTAAAAACATTACAATACTAAATAGTAATAGATATTTAGAAACGTTTTCGTTCTTACGAATAAATCGCTGTTATGAAGGAGTCGGGCTGATAACATTTCAAGACCTAGGATATAACTTTAAACCACTGTATCGGTTTAGAAGTGTCCAGTTTCCTGCAAGTAATAGATTTCTTCCTGGGCTGTCTCTAATCTTAGTAAACGAGTCTTAAATAGACGAAATATAGAATAATAAGAATAATTATTTTAATACTTATTATCAAGATATGTAATGCTATTCATTTTATCGGAACAAATAGAAAAAAAATTGAGACTGACTTATATTTATTTCCTAATTAAAAGAAAGAGCTTCAGTTTTATTCATGATGTTTTCTTGCACATGTATAATTGTCTAAATAAACCGTTTCATGATAAAGAAAAATGTAAGAAAAAGGCACCAATAATTTGTTGTTCTTTTCTTATTCAGGTTGGATTGTAATTATTTCAACCCTTGAACCTGAGGCGCAGTAAACCGTCGTAAAAAAGCCGCTACTGTTTATTTTTAAACATGTAAATGAATAGCAACTGCGCGCGACAAAGGATAACAGACTTATTCACTGATCTCTGTGGTAAAACAAAACCTTACACCACAAAATAAGTGATGGTATGCTGAAAGATGAGATGTATTCCTACCTTGTGATGTGGAGGGAGTGGAGATTTTGCACACATTGTGTGCGGGTAAGCACTGAATCCAACGACCGGGGTAATAGTACATTTGTAAAGCGCTTAGAGACATTTGTATTCAGCGCTACATGAAAATGAAATATTATTATTATTATATTACAATATTCCAATCGAAAGTGTACAAGGATATTCTTGGCATAATGTAATGCCGTTTAGCATGACATGGGCGCAACCATTTTCTTGATAATATCACGTACCAGGCCAACTTGTACATGTATAATGCACCAAGCTTTAGTTGGAAATATTTTTTCATTCCCTTACATAACCTTTACTTTTCAATCAAGGCATAAAGGAAACAAAATATACAGGGGAACAATAATATTGTCACTCATATATTTTAGAAATACTAAAATATAGCAGTTGACAAATCTATTTCATTTAATGCGAAACCCTTACCCCAGAAAAGCGCTAACTTGATTATGCAATTTGCGTTCTGACAATAAAATTGTAGTACAAATGTTAAAAGCAGGTGAATGAAATATCTGATCACCACAAATACCTTGGAACGAAGCATCCATAAATTTAAATTAATTTACTTGATAAACGACTCTGCAGATGATAAAGAAAATGGTGATGCCAACACTATGAATATGCCAGACAAAGAAAGAGGACAAAATATACAGTTCCTCATTCTACCCTCAACAATTGCTGTGGTTGACAAAGGAACATCCCTTCACTAGTATTATGTAAAATTGTGTAGAACAGGTGTCACGTGCATATGCACCTGTTCTACACATTTTTACATAATAGCAGTGAAGGGATGTTCCTTTGTCTACCATAGCAATTGTTGAGGGTAGAATGAGGAACTGTATATTTTGTCCTCTTTCTCTGTCTGTTCTGTTCATAGTGCCATGTCGTGCTGAGAAACTGTACATTGTGCTAAATATATATTGGTTTTACCTTTCTCATATACTTTGGTGGGGAATATTTTAGACAAAGAGCAAGAAGGCAATATAGATATCTCTCAGAATAACCTGTTTAGTACACTTTACCTGATCATAGAAAATAAAAATCCACACAGCATTTTTCAACATACTAAAATGTAAAATACAAGCTAGGTACATATATATTATTAATAAAAAGTCAGAATATATGTATAATTATATCATAATACAATCATTAAAATAATTACACCTTTAACACAAAATAGTTGACGAATCATTTCAAAATTTATAAACGCAGGAGACCACTGTCTTAAAGCTAATCCTGAGCTCTGGTATGGGAATCGTATTTAGAGAAAAAAAAATTGCTATGATTTAGTCTGGATTGTTTATCCAGCAGTTGATTGGTTGTTCGAGCCAGTGAAATACATACAAACGCACACAAACGTTCTGGGTATCATCTTCGATAAAAACCACAACTCCCATTTGCTCGTAGTAACCTGCGTTAAGCACATGGTGTCGGGCCTACTTACCCGGACGTCCTTATCTTTCTATGCTCATTACTCAGCCACTATACATTTTCTTTCAAAATTGTTTTGCACATCATGTGCGAAACAATTAAATGACACGTCATTTCATTAATTTGTAATCTTGAACATTCAGTGTTAATTTCGTTGGATTCTGTAAAAATTTGTTTCTATATTTACCAGAACTCAAGTTTATCTTTAAGCTAGAGTTTGAGAGTGATTGCGGCCTCAGGATATGAACCTATCATGGGCAACCAAACTTATAACATATAGAATCAGAAATATATCAACTATAACAGCCACATAACAAAGAAAATAATTTGTTTAAGGCATAAAATGTGCATGTGCATGTGTGTGGGTGTGCGGGTGCTTGCATTTGGAGCGTTTATCAAATTATAACTTGTATGATTATAATGATTCACGCTTGATAATGATAATTTGTATAATGATAATAATTCATATTTTGCCGCGTCATGTCTTAACGAGCCTCAACGAATCACACTTTTAAAAAAAGTTCAATATAAAGATTCTTTAACTGGTATATTATGACATACTTGCGTAACTCCATCAAAGTATAAACTACAAACATCAAAGCATAATCTAAAAGAGAATCGATCACGTATAGTCATTATCGTAAATTATCAAATTTCGTATTCATAAACAACTACCGAAAGTTCAATTTTCAAAATTGCTAATAACTAACCCTACTGGATGGTTAAAGGAAGGAACCTCCTTAAACTTCAGATCGCGGGAGCTTGTATAATTGGTCATGCTATAGACTCCTGCGTTCAAACCAGCGGAATCGCCGGTCTTCGTCCAAAACATGTCTCCGCCGTAGACGCTCATTTGAGTCACGAGGAGGAAGTCGTTGGCAGGAAAAGACGTAGTGAGTTCGACGACGTTGTCCGGGTCGCTGAGATCGATGTAGAACGTGCGATGCTTGTCAATGTCGAAGAAGGCGACGAGTGTAGTCGGACCTGATGTTGGAAAGAGAACAAAATGTGAAATTGATTGATTGACTGTTGAATCGATTTATTATAATAAAATAAAAAAACATTGAACATGCAGCCTAAGGGCTGAAAATATTCAATTTACAAAATAAAATATACATACCTATTATCAATCTTTACGTAGGAATACAACTAACATAATATTGGGACAAAGATATTTGGGGTTTAAGAATAAGATGATGGAGTGATGTCGTATCCATCCAATCCCGGACTCGTATTACGTGTTTCATAGTGGTATGCCCGAGCTCAGGTAGAAAAGGAAAGTCAGTTCACCTCATTGTACCTGTAAAAGCTATGGTTACCCTATAGAAGTCATTATTGTTCAGCACTTTTGTTAAGAATGGATTGAAAGTGAAAATCTAAATGATGATCATTTAATTAAATGCGAGCAGAAAGGTCATAAAATATTGGGATGAGATCCGAATTCTAAAGTTCATTTCGGACATCCAAATATGTAAAGAAAGTTCGTCAGCTTTATTTGTTTTCGATCTGTCGTTTTTGATCTGTCGTTTTCGATTTGTCGGTCACGTAAAAAAAAAAAAAATAAAAAAATAAAAAAAAAGAAATCAACATGTCTTTTACCCTAGCTGGCAGACTTTATAATCTGAATTTCCTCTTCCGTTCTTGTTTCTGTTCATGTGTAGTTTGTCATTGTTCTGCGGATTGTACCCCCCGGTCAAAACGTTGTATACCCCCGGGGAAAATGGGAAGAAAACAAACTGTCATTTACCTGAAGAGTCAATGGCAAGTCCTGTGATGTTCATAAAATCAGGGTTCTGGTAGATAGTCTGTCGCCTTGAGGAAGAGAGGTTTATTCTGTCAATGCCACCGTCACGTGACCAGTACAAGTACCTGAATTAAAAAATATAATAAAAACAAATAGGAAAACAAAATACGTTTATGGAGGACATTGGATTTCCTCGGGTAACGCAGTACATGTAAGTCCCGCATCAGTCGATATGCATGATCTTTGAGCCATGCTGATCGGTGCTGCGCTTCCTAGAAATGTTTATGACACTGATTTATTCTATACGAATAATATTAGTTTCTTTCTTTCGTATAACAATTCTAGATTGCGCCCAAAGAAAATCCCCAGTTTACTACAAAACGGATAAACGTTTATTGTATCTAGACAAAATAGTGGACATTCCTGTGTCATGGTTAGAGCCAGCAAACACCCGGAACCAGACAACACGGAAAAAGCTCTGAGTCTATTAACTTCAAGTGAAACAGGGTGCTTTAATAAAAAGACGCCATTTTGTTATCTTCCACGATACTTCTAAATAGATTCGTCCTAGCTCTTTTTATGATAAAGGCCTATCTTAAATAAACCATGGTGGCGGTTAAAAGAATCGAAAATTCAAAGGTGCTAACCATCCAGATTCGTCAATAGCAATTGCTCTCGGATTTGGCGTATTCGTAATAAGGTCCGTTTCGCAGCTCGGATAGCCCAGATGGAGTCTGGTGATCTTATTTGACTTGGAGTAGGCACAGTACACCATTCCGCTAGACTGCACCAGCGATATGCTGACAGGTTCTATAGGTAATACAAGGAAAGCATAGCAGCAGTAGAATATGACGTCATCAACAACAATTTAGCTTTGTCACGGTAGTGGGTGAAAACATAATCTTGTATCATATTAACCAAAGAAGCTTTTCTAACAATCTTATGCCTAGATACTGCTAAAGCATTCCTACCGGAGTAGGTATTTAAAGCAATGTGTTAGTGATAGTTTTTTTTTGGTTTAAAGCGTAGTACATGTCTTTTGAACCTTTTTTTTAAACAAGGGCCCGGCCAAGTTCCCTATGGTATTCGTCCTAATTGACATGCACCGAAGTCGACTGTTTTCCCATCAAAAAACATGGAAAAACATCAGATAAGACATGTTCCCTGAAAAGCATGGCTCTTAATTCAAATACCTTCATACTCTAAATTTGGCATGTAACATCGTTAAAATCCGGGGTAGGATGTTTACGCCACGTGTTCGTATAGTCCCATATACATCTTTCTGCGTACAGTGTTTGTAACTTTACCAAGACTTGGCCAAATTTCTTATCATTTTGATGATTCCAGAACCTTGCAATACACACAAATTCTTATGTGCTAGATGATCAACCTTTTATGGTCGATTCCACACCGTTTCTTTCACATTGCAATCGCATGACCAGAACTCAACTTCATCTTTAAGTGCTCTAAAATCAACCTTCCCCAATCGCCATAGACCACCTACCTTCGTACAATCCCACAGAATATATCCTAGGGTGTGTACCATAAAGGGACGCTCCGTGGATTAGGTCGGTCTTCAGATCTGTCCAGAACACCCGGAAACCAGAAGTGTCTATTGTGACCCCCGTGGGATCCTCGTGCTCAGGGAAGGTGAACAGGGTCGAAAACTGGAGATCCCCACCACCATAGAAGATTGCCCGGTTCACGTTGTCCAGGACGAACATTTGCATACCTTCGCCTGTGAAAAGGGGAAATATATTCAAGGCATTCTGGTCTTAATTCAACATGACGCCTAGCTTGTGGAAGTCCAACATAGTTGTTGGATAAACAGTTTCGTTCCATCTGACCACTTGCATTATTTTCCTGCATCTTTCTTGGGCGATTTCCTGGACAAACAGGGTCACGATGTTTGAAGCGTATTCTTATAACAAACTGACGGCAATCTTTGGGAAACGTAATTGAGCAGGAGAGAATACAGAATAGTAAAGATAAAGATTTCCTGTCCTACTATTTTCCCCGGGGATCCGAGGAGATAGACAAGGTTTTCCGAGGGGGGAAGGCCCTAGGGTAAAGCTCAATAGGTTTGACAAAGTTCCTGCAGCAATCGCTCCAAGCGATTCCCTAAAACCCCAACCCAAAACTGCCTAAATCAAACGTAAAATCAAAGCGCATCCCTAAATCTGACCCTGGCAAACTGAAGCCGACAGCAAGATTTGCCGAAGAAAATGTTGGATGACTGAAATTTACTGTAGATTAAAATCTCTATTATATGTACTTCGTTGTATCATTCCTAGAACTAACACCTACCGAAGATATTCAGAGGTGTCGTTGTCTCATACATTGTCGTTGTCTCATTCATTGGCGGCGTCGAATAGCCTACGAATGTGGCCATCGTAGTCCAAACTGACGTCGACGAGATGGTTGTCGAGGTCGGCGCCTCGGTTGTTGAGATGCCTGTTATCCCAGATGATGAATCAGCCATAGCTAAAACAATATATTAGTAAAGAAACACAATGTTTAAAATGAGTATCATTCTGTGACAAGTAGCAGGGTTATTATAAACTACTAGCTGACTAAGGCAACATCAGGGCCCCGTCATAACCTCAACTGTGTACTTAAGAGATAGGAAAATGCAAACTTGCGATTGATTAGAGGACTTGCGATTAATTTGGATCGATCGCAACTCTTTATACGACCGTGCACAAAACATGTAAATATTTTTTAAATATCTCAGGTTATCATGGTTATTTTCATAAGTGGATGGGCGGATTTCCCATCGTAAACAGAAGACATGGGGCAGTTTTCACAGATATTTCCAACACAAATATAAATGATCACCAGACTTTCACATTTCCAATAGGAGTAATCAATTTGTCAACATGGAAGAGGAAAAAATAATTTGGTTTCAATTGCCGACATCACTTAAACGATTTTATAGCTTTACAAGAAATTTTTAAAAAAGAGCTAGGGGGGGGGGGGTGGTCGTGATCTTCTGAGCACTTACCAGGCAGTTGACACACCCGTGATCTGGAAATGCCTGGAGTCGAGTTGGGCATGTCCGGCATGGGACCAGGAACCAGTCGAATGGTCTCAACACCGGGAATAGTAATCGAACCGCAAGGATTAGACACAATGTAGAGGGCTGTAGGATGAATGGTGAGCTCGGGTCGTTCTGTCGGCTGGTAGCCTCCATCTCCTCCTCCTCCTCCTCCTCCTCCTCCTCCTCCTCCTCCACCTCCTCCTCCACCGGAGCAGGCATTGAGAGTTTGGAACCCTGACGGTAAAATGATTAGTTTCAATTGTTATTTTTCTCATAGTCATGCATCATAAAGTGTCTTGGAATTTGACATACATTTACATGTACGCACAAATAAATCATGAAATAGGTCAGAAGTTCTCACAGGACGAACTGATTCAGAACATACTACTTTTTTTGATTTCTTAGGATGACTACCGCCTACCCCCCCCCCTCCACACCAACGAATACTCCAATTACTATAACCTCTATGAATCTACCCTCACTGGTGGAATTCATCCCGGAACACGCCCCCATTGCCTCCTCCTCTAACACGTTTATGCTCATCGTCGTCTTTTTTCTATCTCTCTCTCATTGTCGCTCTCTTTCTCTTAACTTTTCGCACTCTCTCTCTCTCCCATTAATATATATATCTATCTCTCGTTCTCGCTGTCTTTGTTTCTCTCTCTCGTCCCATTACCCCCTTCATTTTCTTTCTTTCTCTCTCTTTCAATTCAATTTAAATAATGTACTTATCTTGATTGAATCACTGTTAAAACGCACTTCAGCTTAAAGTCATTTGACGTTTTCTGTGTTCTAATTAGTTTTTTGGTCATGTGTATCCATATATCGAATCCATTTGAAAATTTACAACTCAATTTGCCCGGTGGAAAAGGTTTAAGCTATCTCGTTAGCAAATTTGAAACGGTCCAACGCTCACCCTGATCCATCATTCATATGACCATCAATTCGCCACAATACATCAATTTCTCTCATGTCATTATGGTACAACAATATAATTGGTAGGAGGACCAGCAATATCGTCATTAGGGACTTTTAGATTTGCGTGGACTGATACGTGTGACGTCCATTCAAGGCAGTGCATTAAAAGGACGTCGACCGCAGCAATCCACATTGTCTTCGTGCAAATCTAAAAGTCCCTATTCATTGAGACCAGCAGACCGTTGATTGATTAAAATGCAGTGCTCGCTTTTACCCCCCCCCCTACTCAGTGTTATTTAGGGTACGCGTATGCATGTTCCCGCCCTTTGAAAGCACCCCCTCAGTCCGGTGTGTAAAGTCAATACGGGCCGATTTTGTCGTGTATTACGAGCCGGTCTTTGGTGCGTGAAAAGTACCCCTTTACCGGAGATATTCGGAACATGAATGCGATCCCTCCGTTCCCGGAGTGGGGGGGGGGGGGGGGCTTTTATCATGGTGACATAATCGGTATTGCGAGACATACGAACAATGAACTACCACATTTCAAATCAATAATTGAATATTGCGATTGAATTTTACCATTAATGCATGTACATTATAAGCGCTTATTACCATTCCTTCTATTGATGACGTTCATAACCATATAACTGCTTGTTTTAAAAGACATGTGGACAGTTAATAGTATTGGTCAAGAGGCTTTGTGTGCAGGGCACCAGAAAATGTTTAATATTATACATGCATAGACTCTACTTTGACACATAAGCACAACTCTATTAAATCTTGAACCTTGCCTAATTTTGTCAGGCACTGGCTGTGTCAAACAGCTAGAGGACCTATGGAGTTCAGTAGACCGTAAAATCTGAATAGTCTTACAGTACAGACACTCAGTTACACAAGGGCTTGTGCCAGCAAAGTTGGACAATAAAGGATCAAATATATATTTTAAAAAATTCTGTCGAATATACTGCCTAGATATATAAAGTTAACAAGTAAATTATTCATATCCTTACTAAGTTTTTGTAATTGTCTAGTTATGTGAAAATTGATTTGTGTTTCTTTGGAATGTGACTATGGAATATGAGAGCTTACATGTTAAAGATTTAACAAAGGCAGCCGCGTAGCCGGGAAGGGGGGGGGCAGTGGAAGCTGTCGCCCCCCCCCCCCCAACAACGAAAAAACCGCCGGCCAAAATGAAGGAGAGAGAGAGAGAGAAGAGAAAAGGGGAAGAAAAACGAGCAGACAAAGAGTAAGGAGTAAGAGTCGATAACGGTACAACGAATCGTCTTCTTTCTCTAATAATTAAATGAAACGTCAAAGATTCCGCGCTTCGCGCGGGAGTGGGGGGGGGGGGGGGGAGGGGGGCTGAATTTAGACAAGGATTAAGAGGCGAGAACGGTACAACGAACCGTCAAAGCTTCCACGCTTCGCGCGGAAGGGGGAAAAATTCAGACAAGAATTAAGAGGCAAGAATGGTACAACAAATCGTCTTATTCTCTTACAATAAACGTCAAAGCTTGCGCGAGAGGAGGGAAACTGAATTGAAACAAGGATTAAGAGGCGAGAACGGTACAACGAATCGTCTTCTTTTTCTAATAATTTAATGAAACGGAGTGGGGGGGGAAACTCCCTTCCCTAGGGAACGCGCCTCGCCTGCTCTGTAAGTGATATGTGCGCGCTTGAACAACGGGTCTTATTCAAGGAGTCCACCTATTATTTTTGAGAAACGAAAAATACATAAAACATCAACTTTACAAAGAGTATAAATAATTTAGGGATATTTATCTTTCTCCATAAAATCGTAACGCCCTAGATGTTTTACGCGTTGAATGCCCATTATCAAAATTGGACGAGATTGCGCAGGTCAAGCGGAAAGGCGTCGGGACCCAATTTATGGCAGAAGTATTTTTCCATGCGTTAAACTATCAGCATTCATCGCATCGCTATCTATTTTCTCTCTGAAGGAAAACAAAGAAATAATTGGGAATTTATATGCAAGCTGGTCGAGGAAATTGTAGCTATGATGTGCGATTTGTTTAAAATGTGAAACTATAATTTTGTTTATGTGAATATTTATCTTTTGTAAATGATTAAAGATAAACTTGAGTTCTGGTAAAAAAAATAAAAAGAATTTTCACAGAATCAAACGAAACTTACACTGAATGTTCAAGATAACTAATAAATGTCATTTTCCAAACAATTTTGGTAGAAAATGTATACTGGCTGGGTAATGAGCATAGAAAGATAAGGAAATCAAGTAATAGTAGCCCCGACATTTGTGTGTAGTCCCATATACATCTTTCTGTGTACAGTGCTTGTTACTTTACCAAGACTGGGCAAAATGTATTGTGATTTTGATGGCTCCAGAATCTTGCAGTACACATCAATACTTACATGCTACATGATCAAATTTTTCTGATCCATTCCACACCTTTTCTTTCATAATGCAATCGCATGACCAGAACTCAACTTTATCTTTAACTTAATTTGCAAATATATTTTATATATGAACATTTATTTTTAACCTTTACTGTGGAATGTTAAACTTCACTTGCAAATTGATTTAGACCTATGTGATGATTATTTGTAATTTTGTATGAAATGTTATAAATTATGTTTTTTTTTAATTAAGAGAAAACAAAAATAATGTAATGAATTTTCTCCTAGTCCTAACTTCGTTTTAATCGTTAAGGCTTTTATCTCTCTTTGATTCTAAGTTCTCTGGCTTCTAATTTCTCGAATTTCTAGAAAATATAAGATGTCTAAATAAAACATGTATCTTACCTGCCAACAAGGAAATGATGGAGATCCACATGAACATCGCCATTTGGAGTAATTCTGAAATTTTGAAATAATAGCAAACGCTGATTGAATCCGTTTAATTTAAATGAAAGCTTCTTGCCTTTTTAGATTCATTTTATTATCATAGCTAGAACAGTCAGATGAGAAATTCTATGAAATATTATTTTCAATTATCGACCTCCTCCTCAACTCAAACACTAGTTCACAGAGAAGATATATACATTATGTAAAATATACAAGATAGGCATATTGTAAAAATTGAAATATCCAAAGATAAAACTAAGTAAAAAAATCACAAAGAAAAAAATAATGCAAAATTTTATTAACGTGAACTATAAGAGACATACAAACTTAATTTGTATATCATTGAGCAAGGTAACGCAAAAGATTATTAGGCGCGTATGGTTCATGGCCGTTCGCTTTTTATTTTTACATTTTTATACATCGCAATATCAGAATATGAGAGAAACACAATCACTATCACAATGGCGACGGTAATTGATGTAATTGGCAGGAAATTGACAACCTTTTAGCAAAGGACATGGCATATCACTAAATATTAAAGTAAATATTCAACCTAGACAGCATTTATATCCAAATTGGAATATTTATGTTGCTATGAAAAGAACGTATCGTAAGTTGCCAGTGGCGGATGCGGTGTTCATTTTAAAAATGGGGAAGGGGACGGCGAGGTTGGGTTGGTTATGCGACAATAATCAATGTTCGTGAAACAACAATAATATTCCGCTTTTATACAGCGCTTAATACATCAACGATGTCTGTAAGCGCTTTACCGATATATTATTACCCCGGTCATTGGATTCAGGCTTGCCCGCACACAATGTATGCATTTTCTCCACTCCCTGGGGAGAATTCCAGCCAGACGCTCACAATGCTAAGTAAACTACATTAACTTTCGCATGCTACCGGGTAACCATTTAACACCTGGGTGGAGAGTGGCATAATATGTAGATTAACGTCTTGCCAAAGGACGTTAGTGTCGGGCTGGGATTTGAACCCCGTACCTTGTGATCTGCAGTCGGTTGACTTATCCACTAGACCTCTCCAATGATAACACCTCTCCAATGATAATAATAATTGATTGAATCCTAAATTGTTTATATAAACCCATCTAAAGAAGCGTCAATTGCCCCCCGGCAATAATTGTTCAGGTAGCATTTGCTCCAGCGATAACTGGGTGATCCGACATGATGTTCCAGGGACAACTATCCGGGCATTATTTCTTCAGAGATTTCAGGGTCACGTTTATATAATACAACTAAGTTTAAGGCTCAGTTCAAGGTAAGCGTTAATCCTTCCACTACCAATTTGTAATACTACTGCTACAATAACACTAACAACCACTCCTAATACTACGACTACGACAACGATGACTCTTCTTCTTCTTCTTCTTCTCCTCCTACAACAACAACAACAACAACAACAGTAGCAACAACAATGATAACGACAACAACAACTACTACTATATTACTATTACCACAACTACCTCTGCTTCTCTGCTTCTACTACTACTACTACTACTACTACTACTACTACTACTACTACTACTACTACTGCTGCTGCTACTACTTCTACTACTAATGCTACTACTACTACTACTACTATTAACACTACTATACTACTCCTACCTCTACTTCTACTTCTACTATACTCCTCCTTCTACTACTCCTCATTCTACTACTCCTCCTTCTACTACTATACTCCTCCTCTTATAACTATTACTACTACTTCTACTTCTTCTCCTACAACAACAACAACAACAACAGGAACAACAGCAGCAACTACTACTGCTACTACTAATAATACTCCCAAATCTAAGTTTGTTGAAATGCTTTTTAATACATGTAAAACTTGCAATGTAATTTAGCTTTCGGGCTACCATTTTGAAGTTGTCTAATAAAAAACCATTCTACTACTACTACTAAAACGTTAAAAAGTTTCAAAAGGTTGTCTTACCTCTGAATATTTAGAGTTATCACTCAACTGAATACTTGCTATCTTGTTCGCTCCGCCAAAAACATGTTGCAATGTAGATCAAAATACTTGTTCCCAGACAGGCGGTGGTTGTTCTTTCCTCATTGGACTGAAAACCAATTAAATGATGAGGATGGTGTGCGAGTACTTTAGACGGTGGAAACCCAGAGACGGGGGTCATTCGGAGATTTTGATTGCCTGCTAATTACGAGGGGGGGGGGGGGGGGGGCGTGTGAGGAGTACGCATTTTCCTTTCATGGGTATGGAGATACAATATGTTATACTTCAGTCTGCACATTTAGGCATTGTCTCCAATTTCAGGGACGTTATCACGAAAAGACAAAATAAAACACAAAAACAAAACAAAACAAAATAAAAACGAAAAAAAAACAAAGACGAAAACCGCCCCTTAAAGATACTATGTCCCTTTTGCAGCCAACATCAAATTATGTAGAACTTTGCAGGAATTATGAATATTTCATGTATGTCCTATCTGTGAAATTCAAACGTTAGCAGTGTCATATTCAAATTATGCAAGGAAACCCGTTTACTTGCTAGACTTCACTATCAGACACTATTGAGTGACTGACTGGCTTTTTTTCTTTCTTTGGTAATAACATACATAACATGAGCTGTAAAAGGTACTTGTTACTTGTTGTAATGGCCAAAATCAAACTGATTGAATCTTTGCGCAGCACAAAACGTACGACTATTCGGTACAATATTCTGATAATCAGACTATTACTTACTGACTTGGTAGCACTAAAGTCGATTCGACAACTAATAGTCATTATTTTCCCACTTAAAGACATTTTCAAGCCCCCTTTTTTAGGGAAGTTCTAAATTATTATTATCTTTCCAATGCCGTTGGAATTTAACCTTTTCATCATTTTTGGCCAGCAAATGGGACATAGTACCTTTAAACTCAAAGTGTTAGCCATTATCTATTTGATATCATTTCTATTAAAAAAAAGAATTCTCATCACTTTTGAAGATGGTATGTAATTGATATCCATCCACACTCCAGACTACGCCAATAATTGCAATATTTTGAAATTCAGTTTTATTACACAATGAGCATGGTGAAGTAATTGGATTGGGGTAAAGCGGGCTGATGAAAAAAGAATTTGTCACGGGTTATTGTTAGCTGATTATATTGCTTGTAATTGACCGTATTAATATGCCAATTGCAATAATGCGCGAAGAAAGAGAGTTATCAACAGCTCATTGCGTTATTCGTTTCATGGTAGATTGGCTATTAAAAGGCCGGGATAATTATATGATTGCACCCTTGCAGGTAGGCTCAGGGAGAACAGTTTACCCAGGGTAGCCTCATCAGTATTAATTTATACTGATGAGGCTACCCTGGGTAAACAGGACACATTATCATTAGTAGAATTATTACGCATTGATAAGCCCTCGCCTACGGATCAGTAGATTCTTGAAGTTTTAAAATAAACGAAACTTGTTATTTGCCTGCCACATTATATATAATATAATACCTCCTATTCACATTTTTTCCTGTCATTTTTCGTTATTTTTTAATACTGGGAAATTAATTGCATGTCGTGGAGCACTCTACTTGGTGATTGATAAATACTTTCAAAGATAAAGTCTATTGCAATAAATATCTAAATGCACCTATTCGTTTTAATTGCTAAGTGAAAACAAAAAGACTTTCCATTTCACATAATAGAGCTAGCTCTGTCGGTCCTTGTTTTTCTTTTATACAACGCCCCCTCTTGTCTCTTCTGTGAAATTTGGTTGAGAAAAAAAAAGAAAAAAGATCACACTGATTTGTTTAGCCTATAGCCTAGGCACTGTGTATTTCTTACTGATAACTAGGGTTTCTACACTTTACTGAATATTTTGTTACTGTCTTTGATGTTCTCTGAACACAATATTCTCTGGTAAAGAGGCGGTTAAGTTCAAAACATGAAATACGCAAAGAAAAATGAGCCCAATAGCTGAGTTTGTGTGCCCCTTCAAATTCGGAACTGTTCATACCCCCCCCCCCTTTACAGAGTCTGAATCCTCTCTTGGATTATCAAAAGGTTTTAAACAAGTTGGTCTACCTAAGATATTGGTAAATCACCTAAATTTTCGTTGTCTAATCCTCTAAATTTGATGAGTGAACGAAGGACACGTTTATGCCGACTTCGTAAAATTTCGATTTATCTTCGTCCCATAAAAAAAACAACAACAACAATTAATTGGACGTCTAGGGACATAATAGACAATGATAAAGTGCATCATATAACGTATAAATATATAACGAATGCAGTTGATAAAGAATGCATGTACAAACTTCTGATATGTTTGATATGCTTCGCTTATCATTATAACAAATACTTTCGCATCAAAACAAATATTCAGGACATGAAATTTCAGCAATTTTGATCGTTCAAATGTCGAATCCATGTCATGATACAAACGTGATTTTCCTTATCTTGATTACCTTCACAGATAACACCTGGAAATGGACTGGGCTTTATAATTATTTTGTTATTTAATTAAGTTTCGTTCGGATAGACGCTAAAAGAAAACACATATGGCATGTAAGCCTTACAAACTGTACCGTAATGATGGCGTGACGATGTACCACGTGATAAAAACCAACGAAATCATTACGAAAGAAAACGGTATAGGGGTAAATAGAAAGCAACGAAAGTTGACTTCTGTTTCTCTCTTTTCTGCTTTAATTTCTTTCTTTTTAATGTTTTTGTTTTTCCTTTTTATATAAATTTTGTTTAATTTATTGGCTTGCAATCGGTTTATAGTGGTCTAGAGGCGTTAAGAGTAAAGTAATCCCAAAATTGCTTCCCTCTGATATGAAATTGTTGATATCCTCCCTGTAGTACTAGTAGTATGGCTTTGGAATGATAAGAAATAAGCAAACATTATTGGATTGTTGTAAAATAAAATCAATAAATTAATGAATCCGGGATAGTGATAATATCTATATGCAACAATTTGGAAAATACTGGAAAATCACTGGTTAAAACCAATTTTCCTTTGAAAATTGACCGA